ATGATCGTAATTACTCTTCAGCAATTTAAATTTTAGAACCAATTTTCATTTCAATTTCTTAATATATCGTCTATGTACAGAATAAATTTTCTTATAAAAATTTCCAGAAAATTTACCGTAAAATAACTATTCGCATAGTAAACGTTGGATGTTGTCATTTCACGAGATATTATTTGTGACGCAATAAATTGTACCGTACAGGTCGGTAAAATATACCCGCTATTATATAGAATTCTTCATCGTTTTGTTTATCTAAAAGAAATTTATATAAGTTTTAGATTAGATGATAAATACGCATAGAAAAAGAATATAGTTATAAAGCTTAAATAAATTCAATAAATATTGTATATGAATTTTGAGAATACAGTTTATTTATGTAATGGTCGATTTTTAAGAAGAATTATGCTTAACCGAAACTTAGTAACGTACATATTAATTTAAAATTATTTCATATCATTAGACATTATATTTATTCATATTGAATTGTAAAATTTGTAAAGTGTATTAAACAAATTATAAGTATTTCAATTCAATTTAAATTTAAGATACCATGGTGTAAAGCTTTATATTTTCTATCGTCTTTGAATTAATATAGAATAACTTACGAACGACATTAAGTATTTATTATTATGAATAATTTATGACATGTGTATAAAACATCCGCTTACTGATTATTAATAATCAAATAAAAATTTGCTACATAGAATACTTGATTTCGAATATATTCTAATTGCCAGCATCAATAGTGTCTAACTTTATAAATATTATAAACATTCCAACTAATAATAGCGCAACATTATCAATTAAAGAAATGTTGATATAGTTAATATTAAATTTAAATCATTTATAAAATAAATATTATTATCCTACTCCCTTAGTATATTTCGCACAAAAATAAACAATTGTATTCTATTTTAGTTGATTTTCCTTTACATAGCTGATAGAATTAATATGGAATATAATAATTACGAAAACATTTTAATGATCACTGTTAATATCGCAATAAATTCAACGTAATAAAATCAACATACATTTAATGTTTATAAAGTAAATACATAACTACTTATTATATTATAATTATAATCTAACAACTAAACTTCAATAAGTCTCTTATTAATATTTATTTCAATAGAACATAAGAACATTTGCCACAATTTATCAAATCTATCGAATTATCTGCCAAGTTTAGTTATCTAGAAAATATTAAAAAATCTGAAAATATATCGTTTTGAAAACGAATTATAAATGCATAATTACCTGAGAAATTCGAAGAGAAATAATTTACGTACAAGCGATTTAAAACTGTCTAGTTTGGTTTCTTTAATGCTCTCTCTCTCTCTCTCTCTCTCTCTCTCTCTCTCTCTCTTTTCCTCTATCTTTTTTGCAATAGAACAAATTACTTGGAATTTTAAATAGTTATATTCAATTCATATGTACATTATAAATTCAACATTTATTACATGATTTTTAAAAGCTATTGCGTATTTTTACTTCCAAGAAGAATATCAAATATTGTGAAAAATATGGTCTTGAAATTCTAGGATTTATTAACATATTGAATTAAGGTCAATTTATACATGAAACTAAGTATAAAACTAAGTGGAAGTTTGAAATAATTCAATAATACAACTAATAGAAATTCAGTATATAACAAAATTTTATATTTTTTATTATAGAAATATCATTTGATTAGAATCACTTTAATTGAAATTATTTTAGTTACTAATAAATCAGATTTTAGATAATTAAACGAAATATAAGATAATAGAATCGATAATTGTAACTCTAATTTTTATTACAAATACAAATTTTATTTTATTTTTCATTTGGTAATTCATACATTTCATAATGACATTTCAATAATTTAATGAAAATTTATCATTTTTATATTCATGTATTATCCGTATAAGTATTGCTATTAACAGTATTATAAAAAAAAATTACCGTCATGAAAATTATAAATTTTTTAAAAATAAGATGTGTTTGTTAACATAGAAAAGTTCCTAATAATGTATCATATTTTCATTGAATATTCAAAATTTTTTATTTAGTATAGATACATATATATTTTAGACTAAAGCATTTTAAATAATACATTATCTCGTATTAATGATTATTTCCAACAAAAAATAAAAGATAAATCAATATTAATTCTTCAGTGAATCTACTTTTATGTATAATATATTCAAGGTTAGTAGTTTTATTTACAATTTTTCCACATTCATCTTTTTATTCGTTATTGAATAATTGGAAGAATTTCAATATTATTATATTCCATGAATCATGGATTACCATACAATCCCATATAATTGTAAATTTACCAATGTAATGGATTTGTCAATTAAAATAGAATGTAATCGATATTTTTACTCTAAGAAATACGTATGTTCAGATGACTCAATTTAAAAAAATTTACGTCTTTAGAATTAAATAACATACTACGATAGATAAATAAACATGCATCTATGTGTACATTTTTAAGTTCTAACATTAATTATTATCTTATTTATTTTAGTCTATTTTAGTACAATTATTAAATAAGCCCGTTATACAATTATTAAATAATATAATGTAATTAAAATATAGTTATATTACATTATAAAGCCTTCTTAACTCATTTACGAGTTTATAATAAAATTTTTTAATCTCGTATATCTTTAAAGTAAAACAATAAAATTAGAAGTTTAAGTTGGCACTTAACTCAATAAAAATACTTTATTAACTGAAAATAAAATTTTAAATATTTAATATTTATTTGGAAATTAATTATTGTAATTCAATTATTTTAAGAACCATATAAATGGTTGATATTTTATATAAAGTATTATAAAGATTTTATTAATTCGGTAACGGAATATAATATTATTAAAATAATCCAACAAGGATATAAAGTTTTACTTTTATTTTCAAGTAATTTTATTTTGGTTTTTTTTTTGGAATATTTAAAGACAAATACAGCGAAAATTTCAAATTAAAAAAAAACTATACGAGACAAGCAAATATTGGACATTGTCTATAATCTATTAAATCATATTTTCAAGATATAGTCAATAGCTACGTCTATATATAAATCTATACTTATATATATATATATATATATATATATATATATATATATATATATATATATATATATAT